TGGTCAGAGAGGCCTAGATCAAGGGGGGAGCAGTGGGAGACAAAGGAGTCATTTGCAATAATTAGATCTAAGGTGTGTCCTTTGTTATGTGTAGGGGTACAAACAAACTGAGCAAGGTCAAAGCATCCCAAAAGAGAAAGGAAGTCTTTAGCCAGACTGGAAGAGGTGGAATCAATGTGTATATTAAAGTCCCCTAGAATAAGAAAAATGGGGAAATATGCGGATTTGCTTATTTCAAGTCAGTGATTCTAAAAGAATGCAGAAAGAGCTGTGCTTAAACACATCTATACAGCTTGCAGTGGTTCATTCAAGAGCTCTTGGGGATTCTTAAAATATACCTATTAAAATCATAAGGGGGATCTAGAAGACAGAGGTCAGCATGCTGGAAGTGAATTAAAATATACAAGAAGGTAGCTGTGTCAGCATGCATAGGCTGTAAAGGAACAAGTAAAGGTTTATTCCATGATGAAAAGAGAAGAAAAGAAACAACATTTTGGCTTTGGAGCCTTCTTCAGGTGTGAAAAGGGTGAAAAATCATCAGGTGATAAAGCATGGGAGAACAAAAGCCAGGAGTGGAGCAGGAAAGAAGCAGAGTGGACACTCAGGTGGTGTGAAGCCGAGATCTGCAAATTAATAGAGAGGATTAGTAGGAAACTAGTCTGTCATTGAGAGAAGGGAGAGGTGTATCCTTGTTTCAGGACAGCTTTGGTTTGGGATGTCTTTCTGCAATAGGAGTTCGAAACCCCTCTTTGAGAACGCAGATGGAGAGAAAAGTATGATCATGGCCGCTAGTGGTGAAATGAGAAACTTTGAGGTTTGGAGAGATCTTTGAACCAGTCATCCTGGTTTCTCATTTTTTTCCCCTTTTTCCTCTGGTAAGCGTTATAGGAGCATAAAGGCATGTACATCCAGGTTCAGAGACCGTTTCTTCCCACAAACTGTCAGATTACCATATCACCCTGCAACTCACAATGGGCAACCCACTGAACCTGTGCATGTGTGAGCCTGGATAGGAGACCTCCTGGGAAAAACTAAGGTTGCTGCTAGAAGAGGTGTTAGACGGGCTAGCAGGGGCCGCTCACCCTGTGGTCTGTGTACAGATGCAGCCATTCAAAATGCGCGGTACGGTAAACTACCCACAAGCCACCACGGGTCACTTAAGTGATTGGCTGGCCAAAATGACTCACAGGGACACTCATGGTGCATTGGTTGGCAGTGAAAAGATTTAATCATTTAATGTCTTTACTGTGCACATTTTAATCCACTTAGTTTTGAATATTTATATGGAATTTTACCACTAAAGGGAAATTTTAGTAGCTGAGCATAAACAGAAGAGGAGCATAACGCATCTGAAGGTCATAAACAATATTAATTTAG